TCATACGAAGTTGATCACTGGGAAGAGAGATCATATGATTCGGTTATATGATTTTATATGATTTTTGATTTTTTTATATGATTTTTAGGGTCCGCAGATTATATGATTTTTCCTGTACATGATTTTTTTGTGTTTTTATTTGTATGATTTTGTATTTTGTATATTTTGTATATGATTTTGTATATGATTTTGTATATGTACAGATTATATGATTTTTTTTAGGATCCGCAGATGATTCGTTTATTCGCCTAACACAGATAAATGAGACTGAAGATGATGATGATTCGTTTGATGTTTCGGCGCAAAGTTTTCGGCCATCACTCGAGCCAAAAAGCAATCTTGGCCCTCCGGCTGATATCACTGTTGCAACCGACAATTCACGTGGGCCGAGATTAGGTATGCTCAGTTATAAAAATGAAAAATTCGTGTTATTTTCAGTGCGTCTTTGGTAATAAAAAAATTTTTTTGATATCTCTGTGTTGGCGCGTATCGTGGTCAAAGTAGCCTTCATTTTAAGTAGTCTTCAAAAGTTCAAAAGCCTTCAAAAAACTTCAAAAGAAGCCGCCACCGACGGCCCTGCCATCCGGGTTGTTTCTAAGCGCGTTGTTCCCTTATTAAATATGAAATAAAAATACCTTTCGAAGCTTTGACCGAATCGATAACTAGCTGATTTTTTTATTTCCAGATGTTCCCGATACGTCCAGAAAAAGACATATTGATAAACGTGCTACAGCTGATTCTGCTACAAAAAAACGACCAACGCCCAGCGTTTTTGAGCAGTTTGCCTTCAAAGTTATACCTCATGATTCTTCACCATCCATATTGGAGCGAAATCATCTATCTAAATCCAATAATACTGCAGAAAATACTTCGAAGTCGGATGAAGATGAAGCTGATTTCAGGTTACTGTTTTGCAAAAGACACAAAAAAAAAAAAATTAATACTTTTATAAAAATGTTGTGGGCTTTTTGATTATGGATTTTCATTTTTGCAACTGCAGAGGGGAAATTCCGGTAAAAAAAATCCGAAATAGCGATTATTACGATTATTAATTCAGAAATTCCGATTATTTTAATCCCGAAATTCCGATTATTTTTGCTAATATTTTGGTTTTTAAACAGCCGGAGAGCAATAGTCGAAGTTCCCTCTTTCTTTTACTATCTACACGAGGACTTTTGCTGGCATCTATCCAAAAAAATCATAATCACATCTTTAAAACTTTTCTTTCTTTAATTGTCTGTTTCCTGAAACGGTGCTTAAAAGCAAGCATAAGTGTTGGAAAGAGTAACATTATTGCTGGCAAAGTGCAGTGACATAATAAATGAAGTAAAATGGGGGTTGGAAGGAAGTATATGGCAAGGGCGTGTCATGTGTCTAGAGGTGTAGCGTAGTTGAGCGAACGTCTCAAAAGAAAATAGAGGGATAGAATAGTCGTATATGTACATATAATATGCTGAAAAGGAGCCAAATTTTGCAGTCTCATTTAAGCTAACCGATATTTGCATTGGGTAACATCTGTGTTTCATAAGGCAACTGCATGACTTCTGCCAGTTCCATTTAGTGATAACTTATAGTAAATAGGAAATATTAATGAAAATTTTGAGCAAATTAGCAAGTTTTTTCTAATAATTCAACTTTCAGCCTTAATATTCGGATAAAAATCGCTTAGGAGAATACTATAGCTTTTTTTTTTTTACTGAAAGCCTTTTTTTTCTAGGCAAAGTTCGTTACGGGCTGTAGCGGAAAATGCGTCCAGAAATGTAGATGCTGAACTTTTGCTGCAAGACGATCCCAATTTCTCGGAAATCAGCGATGACGATGATGTGCAAGCTACGACTGTGAAGAGTGAACATACTGAGGTACATACGTATGTATTGCATGCGGATATGGACTTCAATGATTGTTCCACCGTTTATTATGCGTTTTTTTGCAGCAATGCAATACGGAAAACGCACATTGACGAGAGGTTGTCTTTGTGTATTTCTGTGTGTCTGTGTGTGCGCAGAGCCTCTGTACCAATTTTCCATCTCGAGACCTACAAAAGCTACAGGGCTGAAACTTTGGGGACTTAATCTACATGCACGTGCGGGCCCCAATCTCCAAAACGGGCGGTCTTACCCGCATCGTACCCACGTAAGAGCCCGCCAAAACTTTTTGCGGGTAAGCTGCTAATTCG